GGGGGGGGCTCTGTAACTTACCTGGCTGCTTCTTGCTCTGACTGAGGGCTGCTGGGAGCAGGGCTTGTTGCATGTGCCCGCCCCCCGGGCTCTTTACTGCCGGAGCTCCGCTCCTGTGCGCTCCTGCCGGAAATGGCCCCTGGTCCTCACGCTGTGTAAGTCTTTAAATCCATGTTCCCTTCTGCTTTATACTTAGTAGTCTTGGATTATCTCTTCAAGGGCTGTGAAATTCTGCGTTTCCTTACACAGATTGTCTAACTTCTGCCCTATGGGTGTTTTTGTTTGTGTGTCTTTGCTAGGAAATTCTGTCAGCTGCCAAGAAAAGTAAAGCCGAAGACAATCAGGTACATCAATTTAATTTAAATCCTGTTTGTAAATTTTGATTGGGGGCGGACTTATGTATCTCACCAGGTTATTGTTAGTAGCTTTTTGTGAATGCAAACAAAGTTTGTCGTGGAAAACTTTTCTCTTTCTGAAGTTTCTTTCTTAACTGTGGTGAAGACTGGTTACGTCTTTTTTAAAAAGCCTGTTTTTGAATCGGGTATTTGTTAGTGTTCCTGAGTGTAGTCATATGCACTTTTGGGCACATGTGAATAAAGTGTTAATAGTGTGTAAGTACTAACTGTGCAATAATGACATTCTGCTTCTCTGCTCAGTAGACGTTAAGTCCTTGAGGCGAATGGAACGGGGTTTCCTCAGCGGTAGCCATTTTAGTCTGTTGCAGTGATAAAAGTAGGGTGTTGTAGCACCTGTAACACTACATTATTAAAACAGAGGCCCGTTTTTATAGTTTTGCACCATTTGAATCCAGTAGCGATTGCATTAGGACCACAAGTCTTCATCGCTTTTGAAGGATATTTGTTTTGCCGTCCTGTGTTCATGTATTGATATATTAAGGGAGGAGAAAGAATCACGTGAATGAAGAATCTCCACTCTGATCCTGGCTGTCATTGGTTGCATTTCTTGGGCAGCAGCATGGTTTTAAAAAAAAGAAGTAATCCGACACAGTGAATGTCATTGCATCGGAGAACCATCGACTAATGATATTGAGTAGTTGTATGAAGTAGGGGGGTGTATAGTAAAATGAGGAAATGCAGGTGTTTGGTTGTACTCCAAGTGACCTGTGTTTTGAATCAAAGCATAAGGGTTGTTTTTTTTTAACGAGTTGAGCCATATTCACTTTATTTATTCAAATTTATTTTATTTATTCAAATTCAAATCTATAGCCCGCCCTCCCCACAAGCGGGCTCAGGGCGGCTCACAAATAGGGCAACACATGCCAGTAGTTAAAACAGTAAAAACAAGATAAAGCCAACATTTGCAAAAACATAAAGTGCTCTAGGTTACAAAAAGATCTTCAATCAGGAGACGGTATCCTGGGGATGGTAGTCCCAATTCCATGGTCTCCTGGCTTGTCAGGCTTTGACTGTTGACGGTTTATCCTCTGGTTAACATCTGAACTGAATAGAGTAGCTGTCAGTTCTAGCCCCGAGCTGGTGTGAGCTACCAGCCTTGTCCCCAGCTCGCCGTCCACCCAGCGGTTCGAAAGCTTCGGCGAGTAGATAAAATGGGTACCACTCCTTAGAGAGGGTGGGCGCACACTAAACCCCCGTAGGGGAGGTATTAGCCGGCGAATGGAATGTCCAGCTCGGAAGCCTGGAAAAAAGACCTCTTCGGCATTAAGAAGCCTGTGATGGGCCAATCCGGCCAGGAGGTGGCAGTGCGGTGCTACGACTCAAAGCAGCCCAGGAAGAACCAACGTCATCAAGCCAAGCCGAAATGAATGCCGCCCGGAACACGACTGATTATTATTATTATTATTATTATTAAAGCAGCATGTGTCAGTGATAGCAAACATGAACAGCGTGTGGATGGAATAACCCCATTGTCTGTGAACTTTCTCTCGTAGAATGAAAGCTCATCTCTGAAACTGTGTGCAGAAGAATTCCAAAACAACGGGGACTCAAATAGCATTATTAAGAACAGGTTGGCACAGGCGGTCCGCCACAGCGCCAAGCATTTTGTTGACCCAGTGCGGATGTTTAACGGCCAGCCGGTACCTTTTCAGCAGCCCAAACTCTTCTCTGGAGGTGTAATGAGATGGTACCAAGTGGAAGGCATGGAATGGCTGAGGGTATGGCTTTACTCTTAAAAACTTTGAGTGGCGTCCGAGAAAGAGGTTAACTGTTAAAGGTAGAAAGGAGCAAGGGTCCAGCAGCACCTTAAAGACTAACAAAATATGTGGCAGGGTAGGAGCTTTCGTGAGTTTACTGCTCACGTCTTCAGATACCAAATCTGAAGAAGGGATGTGAAGAAGTGAGCAGTGACTCACGAAAGCTCCTCCCCTGCCACATATTTTGTTAGTCTTCAAGTGGTCAAGACGCTGAACTGCAGGCTGTGGAAGGTCGGTAGTTCAGCAGTTCGAGACCCGAGTGTGCCGCATGACAGAGTGAGCTCCTGTCTCTAGTTACAGCTCCTGCCGACCTAGCAGTTCGAAAGCAAGAAATTGCAAGTAGATAAATAGGTACCACTTCGGTGGGAAGGTCACAGCATTCCGTGCGCCTTTGTGTTTAGTCATGCCGGCCACATGACCACGGAAACGTCTTCGGACAGCGCTGGCTCTTCGGCTTGGAAACGGAGATGAGCACCGCAACCCTAGAGTCGGATTCGACTGGCTTTCGAGCAAGGGAACCTTTACATTTACTTTAAGGTGCTCCTGGACTCTTGCTCTTTTCTGCTGCTGCAGACGGACCAACACGGCTACCCATCTTGAACCGTTAAAGGTGTTTGTGTAGCCATTTGGCTGGGTCATTGGTGCTCTGCTCCGTCATTGGCCGTCTTCCGTTACACTGATTTCAAACAGGCGTTGATGAGCATGGAGTGTGCCCAGAAATCCCTGGTCCTGCTTGCTTTTGTCAGAACACTTTGACACGCTGTTCAAATTGGGCCAAGCCACGGTTCAGAGACCTGAGCTACGGTTTGAGATAAAAGTCTGATTGCCTGGCCTGTGATAACAGCTGCTGCGGCTTCTCCGTTGCCCATGGCTTTGGGTGGATAGGAAATGAAAGCAGGCAAGTAACTGGAAATCCTGGTAGAACTGGATGCGTCAGCTGTGGAGTCTCGTGAGCAAAACGTCTACTTTGTGAGCTACTGGCTTTAAAGTTGTGAGCAAACGATTTGGCTACTGCGTAAATTAGTTTGCTCTGGAGCCCTCCTTCCTGAGCTGAGACAAAAATGTGTGAGTCCGGAGGCTAGAAAAACTGAGCTGGCTCACACTAACTCAGCTTAGAGGGAACACTGGTCAGGACCCTGCCCACAGTGCCATTCTAGGCATTAAGCGGCAGCAGCATGGGAGGGGGGGGCCCCCCCCCCCCCCCCCCCCCTGCTGCCACAGCCGCCAGCCAGGTCCAAGCCAATCGCTGCTCGTCTTGGACCTGTGGGAAGTGCCCAGGAGAGGGATGAGCGTGCAGCATTATAGGGCCTAGGTCAGCACCTTTGAGAGACCCGAGTGCCCAAACTGCGACCCGAAACCCACTTATTTATCGCAAAGTGCCAACACGGCAATTTGACCTGAATACTGAGGTTTTACTTTAGGAAAAAAACAACTCATACATTAACTTAAGATGATCCAAACAAAGTAAGGAAAGCAATCCCAAATGCTTTCATTTACTTAGAATTATTTGGCAGAGAATTCGACACTTTAATGATGGTCTGGGCCTGGCTGGGGCGATGGCACGCGTGCCCACAGAGGTTCGCCACCACTGGCCTAGGTGGATTATTAACGTTAAGGGCTTCAAATTATCTGTTAAGTATATTGCAAACTAATGATTTCCCCCTCCTCTTGTGCCCACAGATGCTGTGGGAGAATGGCATCAATGGTATTTTGGCCGACGAAATGGGTTTAGGAAAGACAATCCAGTGCATCGCCACAATCGCCTTGATGGTGGAGAGGGGAGTCACCGGCCCCTTCCTGGTCTGCGGGCCTCTGTCTACGCTTCCGAACTGGATGGCAGAATTCAAAAGATTTGCTCCTGAGGTAAAATGTCACCTCTTATTTAAAAAAAGCAAACCTTCTTCAGGTAAAATGTCACCTTTTGTTTAAAAGCAAACATTCCTGAAGTAAAATTTCATATTTTATTTTAAAAAAAGGCGTGGCTCATGTTCATTAGCCTCCTTTCTCCCTTGTGGCATTTGAGGTAGTTTACAATATAATAATTACTTAAAAGAAACAGATTATTCTTGTTTCCTCCTTAACCGCTGTAAGCTAGGACAGGGTCTGTGTCTTGGTGGCAGAGCGCTGGTTTGGTATGTGGAGAGTCCCAGGTTCAGTCGCCAGCATCTCCCATTCAGAGGATCAGGTATCAGGCGATGGGAAAGGTCTTTCTCTGCCTGAGACTCTGGGGAGCTGCCGCTGGTCTGGTTGGGCAGGACTGGATGACCTTGGGCAAGCCACAGTTCTGACAAGAGCTGTCCTTGGAAAAGAGCAGTTTCTGTCAAGAGCTCTCTCAGCCCCACCTACCTCACAGGGTGTCTGTTGTGGGGAGGGGAAGGGAAAGGAGTTTGTAAGCCGCTCTGAGACACGTTTGGGTAGTGAAGGGCGGGGTATAAATCCAATCTCCTCCTCTTCTACTTCGACTGCCTCCTCCCAATACTCTTCTTCTTCCTCTTTTTCCTCTTCTTCCTCTTCCTCCTCCTCTTCTTTCTATTCCTCTTTCTTCCTCTTCTTCTCCTCATTCTGATGGGGGGGCTGAGTTAGTCTCGGTGAGCCATGTGGTGCTTCTCCCCCATCAAGACCCCAGAAGCAGACGCTGGTCTTTGCACAAAGTGTGGCCATTGCATGCTGCGCAGGGTGTACTCGTGATCGCTGCCTGGGTACAGGTGTCTGACTTTAAAAGTCAGTGTTGGTGCATGGTGATTCAGTTTTGGGGTCTTAAAATATTTTGGGGTGGGTGGCCTCGGAGATTATTGGGATGTTGAGCTGGGCTGCAACGTTGCGGCTGCTAATCAATTCAAAACTTTTTGATCGGGTAAAGAAATGGTGCCCCTTACTAATCAGCCAACACGTCCTAAAAATAATTAACATTTTTTTTAGAAGTTAAAACTGTAGACAGCAGTCATCTTGCATGACATATGTAGGCGTGATAAAAGGGGTCTGCTTTTTCTTCGCAAAAACAGTGCAGAAATTTTGGAGTTTTCTCTGCAGGCTGCTGTGCCCATAAGGGTAGGCTTCGAAATAAATTCCCAAGCGGTTTGTATCCGTTGAGTTTCTGTCCACTGATTAGCTAGATCTCAGCCTTAGAGACCAACAAAGCCTTTTGAGGGATATGGGTTTTTGAGAGTGAAAGCTTCCTTCGTCAAATCTGACGAAAGGAGTTTTGCCTTTCGAAAGCTGACAACCTGAAACTCTTTGTTGGTCTCGAAGGTGCTACTGGGGCCAAAACTACCTGTTCTACTGATCCCCTCTGAAATGTCTTCGTCTTGATTAATTAGTTACTGTGACTCCATGCCTTGACCCCAGAGCAGAGTCTGAAACATACAGTGAAAGCACAGTTTTGCATTCTTTTCTTATTTTTTTTTTAAATGTATTTTCTAAAACCTGCAAGAAAAATAGGGAGGGGAAAACTATAAACTAGGGGAGAAAGTAAAGATAAACCGCTAAATACCCAAGAGGTGGGGGTCATATAATGCTTACAGTAGAATAGCTTTGAATAAAATAAAGAATAATTTGTTAGCTTGTAGGTGATCATTGGAGCTGCGGTGGCTCAAGTGGTTAAGACGCTGAACTGCAGGCTGTGGAAGGTCCGTAGTTCAGCAGTTCGAGACCTGAGTGAGCTCCCGTCTCTAGTTCCAGCTCCTGCCAACCTAGCAGTTCGAAAGCAAGAAATTGCAAGTCGATAAATAGGTACCACTTCAGTGGGAAGGTAGCAGTGTTCCGTGTGTCTTGGTGTTTAGTCATGCCGGCCACATGACCGCAGAAACGTCTTCGGACAGCGCTGGCTCTCCGGCTTTGAAACGGAGATGAGCACCACAACCCTAGAGTCGGATTCGACTGGCTTTTGACCAAGGGAACCTTTACTTTTACCTAGGTGATCATTAACATTGCTTAAGTAATTCAAGTCCAGGTATTCTGACTTAGTAAAGAACCATGCACAAGAACGGTTAAATAATAAGAATCAAAAGTCAAACGCCAGAGAAAATTAGCATCTCATTTGCACAGTTTTGCTTTCTAATCCCACTCCTAGGGAGCATGTCCACAGAAATAATCTGTGACCTTAGACATGAAAAAGCTCCCACAGCCCCACGGCATGCCTGGTGTCCGTGCAGCAATCACGCGTCTCGCAAACTTTGTTTAAAACATCAGTCCCCATCCCAGTTTGTGAACCAGCCTGAATACCTAAAGTCTAGTGAAGGACTCTTTCTCTGTGTCCTGCTTTGTATTGTAAATCATTGTTTTCATTCATTTTTTTAAGGTTCCAATAATGCTGTATCACGGCACCCAGCAAGAACGACGTTCGCGGCTTCATAAAATCCGAAAGAGAACCGGTTCCCTGAATGTCCATCCCGTGGTCATCACTTCTTTTGAAATAGCCATGAGAGACAGACATTCTCTTCAGGTGTGTAAGAAACTGTGGTTTAATCAATACAGTCCACTGGGATCCTTAATACGGTCCCAGATAGGCATGTTAAAATCATTTCTCTAGGAGCAGGTGTCATGTGTGAATGTGCTCTGAACACTGTGTTCGTTGTTGCTTTGGGTACATACGTTTCGGTAGTGCTTTGATTCGGTTTATCAGTGGTTATGAGCAAAGAATGTATAGATTTGTCCAGGCCGGTTTTAGAGAAAATGAAAGATATTTTCCCCCAGTACCTAAACATTCTTCAAGCAACAGATTATATGTAATTATATAAAATTATATAATTAAAATTATATATAATGTTATATAATTAAAATTTAAGTTCCTTCTAATTGGTCTCTGCATGAGGATTCATCCTTGCGGTCCTGATCTTGGTGACCCAAGCGAGCCAAATCTCATCAGGTCTTGAAACCTAAGCAGAATCAGACCTGTTCAGTATTTAGATAAGAGACCGCCAAAGAAGTCCAGGGTTGCTACGCAGAGGCAGGCGATGGCAAACCACCTCTGAATGTCTCTTGCCTTGAAAACCCCCACCAGGGGTCGCCATCAATCAGCAGTGACCTGAGGGCAATTTCCATCTCCCCCCCCCTCTCTCTCTGAATTGCAAGGAAACCTATAGATTGTCCTTATTGGGTCCTGTTCTTTCTCTGCCCATCTGTGTCCTCCTAAACTGTTGTCAGAAAAACTCCTTGTGCCTTCGGTCTGGACTTCTTTGGCACATCCCTGGATTCTCTCCTTATGAAAGAGCAAACATTATAAATAAAGCTTGCTGGGCTTGCTAAGGGTGTAAGGGCTGGCAGTGGGGGGTTTGGGGGGGGCAGAACAGTTTTCTCAAATGACTCTTGTTCAGTTTTTCTATTGGGAAATTTTGGGGAGTGTTGGGGGGGGGGATCCTATGATTTTTGAGTGAGAGAAACCTCGCTCAAGAAAGAGAAAACTTTGAGTGAGAGAAAACTTGTCTTACAAATCGTTTTACCATTCCGAATGTACAGCAGGGAAACGTCAGAGAATTTTCTCAATTTATCCAGTGGAAAAACTGGGAAATTTTATAAAACAATTTTAAAAAGTTACACTGTAGACATAAGTCAAAACTTTTTTTTGTTTATGATGTTGTCAACAATTTATATGCTATAATATGTTTAATGATGATACATTAATAAAGAGTTCAGTGTTTCCAATGCTATAAAGTTTAGCTCAATACCTAAATAATTCTGGTAGTGCTACTATTGTGGGTCTATGAGAGTTTGTGTCCAAATAATACACTTTTGATTACGGCAGCATTTATTTTCTGATTTTAGCTTTGATTTTTATTCTCCTCTGTCTCTCAGATGGCAAAGGTACAGATATAAGTGCTATGGTAACATAATATGCAGTGGTCTGCGACTCTTTCTCGAGTATTGGAAATACTTGTAATTTTTCTTATAGAAAATTTCCATTCCCTAAACATGCCAAATAGTACATTTTTATGTTAACGAAGTTATAAATGGTCTTTCAAATCAAAGACATGCAGGTTTGGTAGGAAAGTAAGGATTGCTAGTATTTCAGTTTTTCCCAAGCTTCCCCCCCCCTCCCCCAGCTTCAAAATTGCAGGGAATTTTACATCTCTTGAGTTCTTGCAATCAAAAGAGTCCTGCAGAACTTCAGGCTGATGTTGTTTACTCCAGTATCCTGTTTGCTGAAGTAACTTTCAGGAGGGCTTTTGAGGCAGTAGTTGTTCCTTCGGTTGACTTTCACCACCTTGGGATTCCATGATGTTTTGCCTCTGATACTGGAGACTCTCTTTAGCATTGGTGACTCATGTTTATGATGAATCTTCCATGAATTTGTCTAATCTGTATTTAAATCCAAGTAAAATAGTGGTAGTTACTAGGTCCCAAGTTACTAGGCCTTAAGGAGAAATACATCTCTTGAGTCTTCCAGTTGGTGGATGGGCCTTAACCACAGAGTTTTATATGTAGTTCTGGAAATGAAGCCATCTCCTTTATGATGCTTTAAAAACTTTCCTCCAGAGAAGGGACTGCAGGCTTTTTTCTGTTCACCTGGTCTTAGTCATTCAAATCCAGGCAGCAATTTCCCCACCTTCTCTTTATACCTTGGAAAATGTGATCAATTTGACCTTCTTTGCAGAGCACAGTGGGAGTAAACATGTTTTTTATTTCTGCTTTGTCCCCCTCAAAATAACCCAAATCTTCATTCCTCCAGAACTTCTACTGGAAGTACTTGATAGTGGACGAGGGACACAGGATTAAGAATATGAACTGTCGTCTCGTCAAGGAATTAAAACAGTTTAGGACAGACAATAAGCTGCTGTTAACTGGCACTCCCTTGCAAAACAATTTGTCTGAACTTTGGTCCCTGCTGTACTTCCTGCTGCATGATGTCTTCGATGACTTGAGAAGGCAAGTTGCGATGTGTTGTGTCTTGTGGGGGGGGCTCTACATAAACTGCTACTGGGGTCCCCCCAATGTTCCCCCTAAGCTGTGGAGTCTCGTGAGCAAAAATTCTACTTTGTGAGCGACTGGCATTAAAGTTGTGAGCGAGCGATTTGGCTACTGCATAAACTAGTTTGCTCTGGAGCCCTCCTTCCTGAGCTAAGACAAAAATGTCTGAGCCAGAGGTTAAAAAACTGTGAGCTAGCTCACACTAACTCAGCTTAGAGGGAACACCCACCAATGTTCCCTCTAAGCTGTGGAGTCTTGTGAGCAAAAATTCTACTTTGTGAGCTACCTGCATTAAAGTTGTGAGCGAGCGATTTAGCTACTGCATAAATTAGTTTGCTCCGGAGCCATCCTTCCTGAGCTAAGACAAAATGGTGTGAGCCGGAGGGTAACAAACTGTGAGCTAGCTCTCACTAACTCAGCTTAGAGGGAACACTGGTCCCCACCACAGGAGCCGTGGGACTTGCCCACACCTTTCCTGGTGTCTGCCAAGTGTTCTTAGAGAGTGGGTGGGCCAGATGGGACTCTTACCCAGCAAGGCTTCCAATTGGCCACTGGAGAATCAACTCGCCATGCCGATTTTTTAAAATCATTGCTGTGGCAGCAGCCATTTTGTGGCTGTGCCCCACCACGCTATGTCAGAATTCTAAAGGTGCCTGCAGGCAGAAAAAGACTGGGGGCTCCAGACCTAGCAAATGCCTCCACAATCTCATTTGCCTGACCTGGAATTCCTAAGCTGCCTTTCCAGGAAATAAGGCCCTCCGGTGACTTACAAGTTTTTGGCCACGATTGCATTGCACGTACCTAGATTTTCAGTGTCGCATGCAGTCTCTTCAGAGTCTTGACTTGCAAAAGAAAGCTTCTAGATCTTATCGTTGGCAAGTGGAATAAACGAGTTAAAGCAAATGTAAACAAATTTGGATAACGTAGTCTGGAGAACTCTTCCTACCATAGCAGAATTTTTTTTAAAAAAAAATGGAAATGGAAAATGTGCATCATGCTGTCAGGTTCCACAGCCAACAACGGAGTACACGCTTATCAGAAAGGTTATACTTTATTGAAGAGCTATAGATGCATTAACAAAGTCACTGTTAAGAATGGCGTCGCCCCTACAAGCATAATGGGATATAGGGTATTCGTATGCCCCCCCCCTTTCTTGGGCCAATTAGCCACATTCCCACGCGTGGGACGTAAGAACATAAGAGACGCCAATGTTGGATCAGGCCAGTGGCCCATCCCGTCCAACACTCTGTGTCACACAGTGGCCAGAAATACCAGGTGCCATCAGGAGGTCCACCAGTGGGGCCAGGACACTAGAAGCCCTCCCACTGTTGACCCCTCCCCCCCCAAGCACCAAGAACACAGAGCATCACTTGCCCCAGAGCCCCTATCGATACCTTGTGGCTCATAGCCACTGATGGACCTCTGCTCCAGATGCTTATCTAATTCCCTTTTGAAGCTGTCCATGCTTGTAGCCGCCACCACTTCCTTCTGGGGGAGACTTTCCTCCAGAGAAAACTTTCCTCCAGTCTGGGGAGAAGGAGCCCCAGGCCGTTAGAGCTGGAGCTTGAGAACCGAAAGCGCTCCCACGGTTCCCTCACTCCTAGACACCACACCACCTGCATAGTTGTTGATAAGCAAGCGTTACAGCAGTGAAGAAGCACAGAAGGAATGCAGCAGTACTTTGTACACAGGTCATCAGACACTTCCCACTACCATGGCAGCATAGCTGACACATACTCATTTTGGGGGGAAAAATAAATAAATCTATTACTGTGTTTTCCTCCTAGCTTTGAGTCCTGGTTTGACATTACCAGCATTTCTGAAACTGCCGAGGATCTCGTTGCTAAAGAAAGAGAACAGAATATCTTGCACATGCTGCATCAGGTATTGGTTTTCATAGATCAGATGGAAATGCATGCATAGTTTTTTGTTGTTGTCTGGAATTCCACTTTTTTTCCTAACTGTATTTACAATAGAACAAAGTTTGAGTCCAGTGACACCTTTAGGACTTGAAAAAGTTTAATTCTTATACCCAGAATTAAACTTTGTCAGTCTTTAAAGGTGTCACGTTGCTTCAGACCAACCCGGCTACCCACCTGAATCTGTATTTAAAATGAACATGCCCACATTTGTGTATCTATACAAGTGTCAGGACCCACAGCTAAACAACGAAGTACACGCTTCCAGGAAGGTTTTACTTTTATTGGAAAGCCATAGATGCAGTAACACGAACACAGGAATGGCAGGATACCTGTGCGCATAATAGGATACAGGGCTGGACTCTCTAACGGCTGCGAAGCTGGGAATGGAGAAGCTCCCACAGACGATAGACACCACATACCTCACCAGTACAACATCAAAAATAAGTGTTATAGCTTTGAAGCAATTAAGCGCATGGGAAGGAATGCAAAGCAATTAGAAAACATCTCCACACTCATGGCAGCGTAGCTAACAACCAAGTTATGCATCCCCGTGCACTTCGGTATATAGCATCCTTCTTATATTCATGCACAGGTATGTGAAAAGTGTATTTGCTGAATAATTGGGCCAGTAATAAGAATATGATGCGTTTCTGCTGAATGGGCTCTCTATCCAGAGTCAGACCAAGAGTTGGGACACCCGGGCCCAGATCCCCACCCTGCGTCGGAAGCTCGCTGGGTGACGTTGGGCCAGTTGGATGCCAGTTTGGTGTCGTGGTTAAGTGTGCGGACTCTAATCTGGGAGAACCGGGTTTGAGTCCCCACTCCTCCACTTGCACCTGCTGATGTGACCTTGGGTCAGTCACTAGCTCTGGCACAGCTGTCCTTGAAAAAGCCGTTTGTGTCAAGAGCTCTCTCAGCCCCACCCACCTCACAGGGTGTCTGTTGTGGGGAGGGGAAGGGAAAGGAGTTTGTCAGCTGCTCTGAGACACCTTTGGGTAGTGAAGGGCAGGGTATAAATCCAATCTCTTCTTCTTCTTCCACTTGCACCTGCTGGATGACCTTGGGCAAGCCGTAGTTCTGGCACAGCTGTCCTTGAAAAAGAGCCGTTTCTCTCAGAGCTCTCTCAGCCCCGCCTCCCTCCCAGGGTGTCTGTTGTGGGGAGGGGAAAGGAGAGGAGATTGTAAGCCGCTCTGAGACTCCCTTGGGTAGTGAAGGGCAGGGTATAAATCCAATCTCTGCTTCTTCTTATTATTTTTTATCTTTATTCTAGATCTTGACCCCTTTCTTATTGAGAAGACTGAAATCAGATGTTGCTTTAGAGGTTCCTCCCAAGCGTGAAGTGGTCGTCTATGCCCCTCTTGTAAAGAAACAGGAGACTTTCTACACGGCTATTGTCGACAGGACGATCCGGAAGCTGCTGGGGGATGAGCAGGTATTTGCTGTGGCGGTCTCCTGCCACAGGGTCTGAGCAGCCGTGGGCATAAGCAGTACGGCTGCCCGCTCCGGGTTGGGAAATACCTGGAGATGTGGGGTGGGGTGGGGTAGGGCCTAGGGTGGGGTGGGACTTCAGTGGGGTATAATGCTGTAGACTCCGCCTTCTGAAGCGGCCATTTCCCCCAGGTGAGCTAACTTCTGTTGCCTGGGGATCCGTTGTAATCCCAGGAGATCTCCAGCCACCACCTGGAGATTGGCACCCCTCGTAAGCAGCATACTGCTACCCGGGGCCTGTTTTGTGCATGAATGTGTTTGCAAAAAAATGCCGCAGTGCTAGTAGACCCCAAGCACAAATTCTTGCATGGATGTGAAGTCCTAAAGCGGCTGTGGATATAGATGCTTGCCTCTGGAGGTGTGAACATTGGCTTGTGGTCCTCCTCTAGTCCAATTTTATGCATGTCTTTAAAACGAAGCGCCACCGCCACCACCACCCATCAAGTGTGTTCCATTTATTGGACGGAGTAAGTAAAAGTCCCCTGTGTGCTTTCTGGGGACCGTTCAGAGTTTTGCAGTATTGGCCGTGCGCCAGGTGACTAAATCCAGGCACTGTGTGTGACAGGTGGAAATTTTTACTCCTGATCCTGTTCAGACCACCAGCCTGTATAGAAGTCAGTAGAAACCCAAGGGGCTTGATCCTGTTTAGACCTACAACATGCACACGAAGCTGCGTTATCCTGAATCAGACAGTTGGTTCTATCCAAGTCAGTATTATCTACTCGGACTGGAGGTAGCTCTCTGGGGTCTGAGACGGAGGTCTTTCCCATCACCTGTTACCTGATCCTCTTAACTGGAGATGCCGGGGATTGAACCTGGGACCTTCTGCCCTGCCACTGGGCCACAACCCTTCCCCTAAAGCAGTGCTTCATACACGAACATAGATGAAGCTGCCTTATACTGACTCAGTCCATCAGGGTCAGTATTGTCTACTCAGACTGGCAGCAGCTCTCCAGGGTCTCAGGCATGAGGTCTTTCACATCACCTACTGCCTGGTCCGATTTAAGTGGAGATGACAGGGACCTTCTGCATGCTGAGCAGACGCCCAACACTGAGCCATACCCCCCGCCCAGCCTTTATAGAAGTTAGCAGAAACCCAGTGGTCAGTTCCACTCGCCTTCCTTGAAGAGCCATGCGCCCTGTTCGCGATTGCTTTCCTCCCGCGGGAACCTGGGAAGGGGCGGTCACGGCAGCTACTGTTCTCCCCCTCCAGGAGCCGGTGGTTGAGTTGAGCTCTGCAGGGAGGCCAAAGCGCCGGAGTCGGAAGCTGGTTAACTACCGCGAGCCTGGTGAAAACGATTTCCCCGATGAACTGGAGCTGCTGATCAGCAAACGGCAAGAGGAAGTTGAAAAAGAGAGGTGCTTATCCTAAATGTGGCTGCATTCATTTACAGAGTGTCTTTGCACCCAATCTGGACGCTTTTAGGAATAACTGAGGTCTCAGAGACAGGCAGTTTTTATAAATCATGATTTTGTACAAATGAGATAATGATACCATCAATTAAAGTAAAGGTGCCTTGAAGAGTTGTGCTCGCTGACTCCCATGACAGTCCCCGTAATTAAGAGCAGGGATAACACACGCATGGAGCGCCTTATGCTGAATCGGACCATTGGTCCATCAAGGTCTGTGTTGTCCAGTTCTGACCTCGATAGCCCAGGCAAGGACTTGTCTTTGGCATCACCTACTGCCTGGCCTTTTTCAAACCCGTAGGTGCCAGGGGTCGGACGTGGGACCTTCTGCATGCCAAGCAGACATTCTGCCGTTGAGCCATGCCTCCTCTCCAGTTTTGTATATCGGTTGGTTTGGGTCTGTGTTTGAGTCGTGCTCATGGCGCCATGTTCACAAACTTGTCCTTTGCCAGGCCCGTGATAGAAATGAACATGCCTTTGGACTCTGAAATCAACCTGAAGCTGCAGAACATTATGATGGTGCTAAGGAAGTGCTGCAACCACCCGTACCTCATTGAGTACCCTCTGGACCCTGCCACACAGCAGTTTAAGGTAATGGGTTAGTAAGAAGCTTGTTTGGAAGGGTGCCCGTTCTGGTTTTCTCTGAACAAATCGATTTGCAGAGAGCAGCGGTTGACCCATGTCATGTGTCCGTCTCTCTTTTCGCAATCCAAGAACATTGTAATGCTTCATACGCATTTATCCCTAGAACATAAGAGATGCCAATGTTGGATCAGGCCAAAGGCCCATCCAGTCCAACACTCTGTGTCACACAGTGGCCAGAAATAACAGGTGCCATCAGGAGGTCCACCAGTGGGGCCAGGACACTAGAAGCCCTCCCACTGTTGCCCCCAAGCACCAAGAATACAGAGCATCCCTTGCCCCAGAGCCCCTATCTATACCTTGTGGCTAAGAGCCACTGATGGACCTCTGCTCCATATGCTTATCTAATACCCTTTTGAAGCCATCCATGCTTGTAGCCGCCGCCACCTCCTGTGGCAGTGAATTCCAAGTGTTAATCACTCTTTGGGTGAAGAAGGACTTCCTTTTATCCGTTCTAACCCGACCACTCAGCAATTTCATGGAGTGCCCACAAGGGGTTCTTGTATTGTGAGAAAGGGAGGAAAGTACCTCTTTCTCTACCTGCTCTTTCCCATGCATACTCTTATAAACCTCAATCATGTCACCCCTCAGTCGTCGTTTCTCCAAGCTTCTGTGCTTACTAAAGATATATTCCTAAGTGAACCTCCACGTTCAGAGGTACTAATCCTCTGAATCCAAGAGCCAGGAGGCAACCTCAGGGGAAGGCCTCGGTCTCTGTGCCCTGTTGTTGGCTATCTAGAGGAACTGGTTGGCCCCTGTGTGAGGCAGGATGCTGGACCAGCTGGACCACTGATATGATGCAGCGGGGCCCTTCTGATGTTCTTATGAAGGCCTCGGCCTCTCTGCCCTGTTGTTGGCTCTCCAGAGACACTCTTTGGTCACTGTGTGAGACAGGACGCTGGACTGCATGGACCACTGGTGAAAATGTTTAGTTGTGTAGATATTCCATGAAGAGCAATGTGTCAGGACTGGGGGGCGTGATCACTGCCTGCTTTCGTTGAAAGCCCAAATTCCGGGGAGAAGGGAGGTAATTTAAAATTATATGCTGGGCAGAAGGAGTGGAAGAGACTAAAGCCAGTCTTGTGGGGGCCGCTGCCACTGAAACAACGTCATTTTGATCTGCATAGCCAATCAGGAGCCCTCCTGGGCAAGAGACTCCTCTGGTCCCACCGACTTTCTCAACCACTTGGTGGGTGCCCCCAGGTTGGGGATCCCGGCCCCAGAATTTCAAGCGAGTCGTCTCTAGATGCCGTTTCAATTTAATTGAGTGTGACCTAAATTATAGATTCGGGGTCAGTAGCGTCTTAGAGACGAACCAGATTTTCAGGGCAGGAGCTTTCGAGACTCAGAGTCCATCCCCCGAAAACCTTGCTGGTACAAAAAGCTATGGAACCTTTATATAATGGAGAAAATCTCAGATACTCCATGAAACAAAAAATTGATCTAAAGGTGGTCAGAATGACATTGTATGTATATGGTACCCCATACTAGTACATCTATCTACCAAAGAAACAGTACCTGATGTAATAAACACTCTGCATCTATGGTAACTTTCAAACTGTATAATACCGACAAATTGTATGAGATGTATGAAGCCGTTGAGAGCTGCCTATGCTCATGCTTACCTTGTATATCTTTGCTGTTTATAAAAATGAATTAAAATTATCTGTTAAAAAAAAAGTAAAAAAAAAAAACCTTGCTGGTCTCCGAGCTGCTACCGGACTCGAACCGAGCTCCTCCGCGGCAGTCCGGCCCGGCTGCCCTCTAAAACGGACCTCATTCTGTTTTCCTGACCTGAAGGTCGACGAGGATCTAGTGAAGAATTCGGGCAAGTTCTTGCTCCTGGATCGCATGCTGCCGGAGCTAAAGAAGCGGGCGCACAAGGTATTTCCCCTCTCTTATGTCAAAACGTTGTTCCGAATGCCTCGAGCAGAAAGGTAATCGGTCGTCTTTGTTCCGTAGGTGTTGATATTCTCGCAGATGACCAAAATGCTGGACATCTTGATGGACTACTGCTATCTAAGGGGCTACCAGTTCAGCCGCCTGGACGGAACGATGTCTTACGCAGAGAGGGAGAAAAACGTAGGTGGCGCCTTCCCTTGAAAGGCCGTGGCCGTTCTGCGTGGGCGTCCGGACGCTCCGTTACACACAGCAAATGATTTTGTCCGTGACGCAGAACAACCAGCAGCCTAACTGGGAGATACGCAGGAGCCAGGCGACTGTGAAGCGTGGTTTGGTGGCGGAAAGTGCCGGCACGTCACAGCCGACGTCTGGGGATCTATAGTGTTTCCAAGGCAAGAGGTGGTCTCCCCTCCAAGTCCTAAGCAGGGCCTGAGATCTGCTTAGCCCCTGAGATCTGGCAAGATTGGGCAGTCCAGGTCAGGGCCCATAAGAACATAAGAGACGCCAATGTTGGATCAGGCCAAAGGCCCCTCCAGTCCAACACTCTGTGTCACACAGTGGCCAAAAATACCAGGTGCCCTCAGGAGGTCCAGCAGTGGGGTCAGGACATTAGGAGCCCTCCCACTGTTGACCCCCCCCCTCCAAGCACCAAGAAGACAGAGCATCCCTTGCCCCAGAGCCCCTATCTACAACTTGTGGCTAATAGCCACTGATGGACCTCTGCTCCATATGCTTATCCAGTTCCCTCTTGGAGCCGTCCATGCTTGTAGCCGCCACCACCTCCTGCGGCCGTGAATTCCATGTGTGAATCACTCTTTGGGTGAAGAAGGACTTCCTTTTATCCGTTCCAACCCAACTGCTCAGCAGTTTCATTTCTCCACGCTGAAGAGCCCCAAGCGCTTTACCCTTTCCTCACAGGGAAAGTGTTCCAACCCTTTTATCATTCGAGTTGCTCTTTCCTGCACTTTTTCCAAAGCTGTAATATCCTTTTTGAGGTGTGGTGACCAGCACTGCACACAGGACTGGGTTATGGGGGTCATGTCCAATGTTCCCTCTAAGCTGTGGAGTCTTGTGAGCAAAAATTCTACTTCGTGAGCTACCAGCATTGTAAGCGAGCAATTTGGCTGCTGCACAAATTAGTTTGCTCTGGAGCCCTCCTTCCTGAGCAAAGACAAGAATGTGTGAGCCGGAGGCTAAAAAATGGTGAACTAGCTCACACTCACTCAGCTTAGAGGGAACACTGGTCGTGTCACACCTGTGATGAAAGATCCGCGGTAGCTTCTGGATCCCGTGCAAAGAGCTGCCTTTGCCGTTTAGTGCCCTCAGTGGCTTGGGTCGGGGGCCCTTGCAAGACGGCCTCCTCCCATCCGATCTAGGTCTGCCTTGCAAGCCTTGTTCTCGGGGACCCCCCCCCCCCCCCCCCCCCCCGACCAGAGACAGGGCTTCTTCAGTGGTGGCCCCTCTTTGGCGGTGCCTCCTCGGAAAGGGGCAGTGGTTGAAATGCAGATCTCAAAACTCTGGTTCTTTGGTTTCTCCAAATGAGATTCATTTTGGCAGAGTTCTACTGATATACTGACGGGGGGAGGGGAGAAAGTGCTTCCTTTGAAAGTAGAGGAGGAGTTAATTTTATACCCCACCCTTCTCTACCCGAGGGAGTCTCGGGGCAGCTTACCATCGCCTTCCCTTTCCCTCCCCACTTTGTGCCAGTTTGGTGTCGTGGTGAAGTGCGCGGACTCTGATCTGGGAGAACCGGGTTTGATTCCCCACTCCTCCACTTGCACCTGGCTGGATGGCCTTGGGCAAGCCGTAGTTCTGATAAGAGCTGTCCTTTAAAAAGAGCAGTTTCTGTCAAGAGCTCTCTCAGTCTCAGCCCCACCTGCCTCACAGGGTGTCTGTTGTCTAATCTGGGAGAACTGGGTTTGATTCCCCACCCCTCCACTCGCAGCTGGCTGGATGACCTTGGGCAAGCCGTAGTTCTGTCAGAGCTGTTCTTGAAAAAGAGCCGTTTCTGTCAGAGCTCTCTCAGCCCCGCCTCCCTCACAGGGTGTCTATCTGTTGTGGGGAGGGGAAGGGAAAGGAGCTTGTAAGCCCCTATGTGACACCTTTGGGTAGTGAAGGGCCATGGGGTATAAATCCAATCTCCTCTTCTTCTTCTTCCCCACTACAGGCACCCTGTGGGGTAGGTGGGGCTGGGAGACGGTACCTCTCTGGGCGTTTCAAAAGACAACCTGACTGTGTTTCCTGTTGTGTCTTGTTCACAGTTTGCTCGAAGGCGAACATCCTTCTTTCCTTAAAACAAGCTCTCTTGCTCTCTCGTAGATGCATAACTTTAACACAGATCCAGAAGTCTTTATCTTCCTGCTAAGCACACGGGCCGGAGGCCTTGGCATTAATTTGACAGCCGCCGACACAGTCATCATTTATGACAGCGACTGGGTATGTTTTGCACGCCAGCAGGCGCAAGTTGCGACCCCTCATCCCCGAGGGCCACGTGCCGAGTTCTCCCACACGCAGGGAGCTTCAGAGTTTCTTCTGTGCGGCAGTAGCCCCAAGTCCATCCTTGAGATTTGGGGCAGTTTCAGAAGTATTCTTCCAGTGCCCTGCAGTGGTGAGCCAGGGGCCTGAACAGAGCATTAGAACCGTATCTCCCCCCCCCCCCCCGGCGGGGCAGTCGTTTAGGACTCAGCCTGCCGAGCTCAGTTCACGCAGGCCTGGTTGGGCAGCTCACAGAAAGAGGGTGAGGCTGAAGAGCCGGTGTTTCTGAAACCCAAAGTCCAGTTAAGCAGTTCTGTGACTTACCCTACTCTGTCCAAAAGGACAGGTTTCTGGCAGCTGGTGCTGTTTTTCTATTATTTTAATATGGTTGATATCTGTTTTTAGGTTATTGTTCTAGGTGATCATTTGCCAGTGGAAAGGTGGGCTTAAAAGTATTTCTAAATAAAAGTTTATATAAATACGGCACTCAAAAGCAGATACAATCCCACCTAAACTTGGGTCAGCCCTCCTGCGAAATGTGCAGCGTGGAACAGCCGTTTCAGGTTTAGATAAAGAGGGAATTGGAGGGAGTTGCATTGAATCTTCTCCATAATGCCTTGGACCTGTTATTGGTAATGCTGGTCTTCTCGAACATTTGGGCCGCTTTGTGGTTCCAAAAGGAATCTTTGCAGTGAGAACTCCCATCCAGAGAATCTGGCGTTACCCGAAAAATCGGCAGACGTTTAACGCGAGGTCCAAAGGGTGACTTACCTCCTTAAGCCCCGTTGCGTTCCTTTCTCTGCCTTAGAATCCTCAGTCTGACATTCAAGCCCAGGACCGCTGTCACAGGATCGGCCAGACAAAGCCCGTGGTCGTGTACCGTTTTGTCACCGCAAACACCATCGACCAAAAGATTGTGGAGAGAGCAGCTGCCAAAAGGAAGCTGGAGAAACTGGTCATCCACAAAAGTGAGTGGACCCACCTGCCTGGGAACAATTTATTTGGTCTCTTGTTGGAGCCGCCGCCCTTTTCAGGGCTTCCGGTGGGGCTGTGCTCTTCCCAGCCCAGTTGAACCTCTGTGTGACCTGGCCAAGTGTGCTTGCTGCATGGCCAGTGCCGATGTCCCAACATCTGCTGGGGAGGAGCTGAAAATCTTCTTCTGTTGAAAGAAGGGAGGAGGAAAGAGCGCAGAGGGATCCAGAGAAGGGAGTAAGCTGTTGGAGAAGTGACCTTCCCCAGAGATGCAAGATGATTGGGGGGGGGGGTTTAAGCCAGGGAGGGGAAGGCGATGCAGCCAGTGCTCCTTTTGAGCCCTGTGGGTGCAAGTGGTTGGGGGGGGGGTGTCCGAGTTGGGCTGAGAGCCCCAGGGCAGGTCCCGTACAGACCTGAACCACCTGAATGAACCGCTGGAGATGAGCTCTTCTCTGCGCACCCGGTAACTGGCTTGTCAGGAGTCACAGGAATTCGGGTGGCTGCATGTAAAGATTTCTCCTGCAGAAGAGAAGTTTTTGCTGAATTCTGGGCTTCTAGGGAAGGGAAAGAAAACAGTTCTTTGTAGGGGGGTCGATGACACAGTGAAAGGCCCTCTGAGCGATAGCCGGAAAGGAAGATGCAGTTGTCCATGGGACCTTGACATATAAGTCAGAACCTAAAAAGGTTAGTCAAGAATAGAAGAGGGCCAACTCTACAAATCTAATTATGAAACATACAAAAATATACATGTATTTATTAAACACAAATTAAAATAAATAAATGCCCATTCATACCTCATATACAAATATAAAAATACAAAGGCTGATAAAATAGACCTAATGCGTTTTGGCCTTCACAGGCCTTCTCAGAGGTCTAATGCAAATAGAACATGTTGGCTAATATGTAAAAATATATACAATCAAACATATGCAAAATATGAAATAAAGACCAGAAAACAATTGTTCCAAAGTTTAACCACTGGGCAAAAATACAAATAAAACCTCCAGTACAATCACATGTCCAGTAGTACCTCTCTCTAGTCAACTATACATTCTCCTCATGTTTAGAAAGTGGCAGCTAGAGATAAATAAATTCATATGGAAAAACAAAACCCCACGGGTAAATATTAAAACTATGTCTAGAGCATCAAAACAGGGGGGCTTAGCTTCACCAGATCTCTTTCTATACTATAAGGCAACCACTTTAGCATCACTGGTCAGACATTATGACTCTGACTCAGATATTGATTGGATGTGGATTGAGGAGGGATCAACAAAGGGTCAAAAAATTCAAGCTTTGCTTTGGAGGAGTAACCGTAAACTTTTTAATGCTAAAGGTATCTCACCCTTTCTAAAACACACTCTCAAAGTTTGGGAACAAACTAAAAAAACACTCACTTCTCCATCCTCGAAACTGAGTACCTTCTGTGGGCAACCTTGGTTCTTGCCGGCATCACATTCTTCGCATTTTTGGCAATGGAAAGAAAAGAAAGTTACAAGAATTATAGATGTCATTCATAATAATAAACTTCTGGACAAAATAGATATTGAAAAGAAATATGACTTCCAGATTCAATGGTGTGAGTACCTGCAACTCCGCCACTTTATAGAAAGTTCGGCCTTTAAAATCTCCCTGACCAAACCCTTGACAGATTTTGAAAAACTTCTCTTTTTAAGACACCAAAAGAAAGGTTTAATAGCGAAAATATATAAAATGCTACAAGCCCCTCTGTTGGAATCTCCTTTAAGTTGCCAGCAAGCCTGGGCAATAGATCTAGATAGGCAGATTACGGAAGATCAATGGGATCGAATCTGGAAATCCCAGGCTAAGCTTTCCAACTCTCTTTATATTTTTGAAGCCAATATGAAAGTTCTCACCTGATGGTACCTTACCCCAGCTAGACTAACACACATGATGCCTCAAATGAAACCCTTATGTTGGAAACAATGTGGGGAAAGAGCGACTTACTATCACTGCTGGTGGAAGTGTAAAAGTATTGAGAAATTTTGGGTACTTGTCATTAGAAAGGTTAAAGATTTAACTGGTTATGAGGTTCCTTGGGATCTGGCCTTAATTTTATTGAATTTATGGCCTGCAGATGGGTTCTCATTTGCTAGTAGAAAATTGGTGGGTACTCTACTCACGGCGGCAAAGATAGTGATTGCCAAGCACTGGAAAGACCCGAGTCCTCCAAGTATTCAGCACTGGCTTCATAAGGTGTGGGACTTATTCCTGTTGGAGAATTTTAATACGTTCCATTCAGAAATCCAAACAGAATGTGAATTGATGAGCCCACTTCATGCTTGGTATCCCTTATTGGACAAGATTAATATAGACAAATTTGACTGGGAAAATGTCAGTAATGCTAAATACAAATTGTTGTTATATAACTAAAAATTGTTGTCTTGTACGGTTAGAGAAGTGTAGTTTTCTCGCAATACCCTTGCTTTGTTGTTTTGGACTTCCCTGTTGGATTTTTTTTTCTGTATGTATAAAACTCTCAATAAAATTTATGGTTTAAAAACTTTAAAAAAAAAACAACAACTATACATTCTCCTGAGATTGTATAGCCAAATGTTCCCAATGTAGTGTTCCTTAAGTTTCAAGGTTTTATTTGTATTTTTGTCCAGTGGTTAAACTTTGGAAGACATTCTGATAAGGACTTCTCTTTTTTTGCCCTGGAGTATGTTCGACCTTGTAACCATCTGCAGCATTTGAAAGCAAGGGAATTGTTTTGGATTTATGCCCTCAACACTGTAACACCATATGGTTTGAACGAACTAGTAGATTGAGAAGTGAAGTGATCAGATTTATAGAGTTGGCCCTCTTCTATTCTTGACTAACCCCTTTTTAGGTTCTGAATTCTAGGTTTTAGGTTCAGTTTTTTTTCCCTTTCCCCTTTTTTGTCCTTACTACCTTGACATATAAGACCTTGCGCGTCAAAGGCATCTCTTTGAGGCTTCCTTAGGCTTTGGGGGCCTGAGCGAAATGGGTTGCAGGAGCTGCTCTCTGGTCCTCCTATGTGTGTTTGATCTCATGGATGGGGGGGAGAGCACCGAGACAAGACACAACTTCGGTCCAGCAGGGGGCGTTAAAGGCACTAGCGTGATGCTCTCAGCCTGTGGCACAGCCGTCCATCTCTCAGTGGTGCCATTAACGCTGAACTAACGTGCAGCCTGGCAGGATGACCCCTCTTGCTTGCCTTCCAGATCAGTTCAAAGGGGGCAGACTTGGCGTGAGCAAGAGCTGCTTAGATCCCAAGGAGCTCCTGGAGCTGCTGCAGTCCACGGACTATGACAGGTCAGTTTGCCTCCTGCGTCACAGGCCGGGCTGTACGGAGAGCCTGCTTGTTTTGATACGAGTGTGGGCTTCTTTGCACGGAGAACATCGTATTGGGGGCGGGGAGCTGCAAGAAGGGGATGCTGGTGACAGGTTTTAACATTTAAACGTGTGCTCTTAGGGAAGTTAAAGGATCCAGAGAGAAAGTTATATCTGACAAAGATCTAGAGCTGCTGCTGGACAGAAGCGACCTCCTTGGTAAGTCCAGACTGTATTTCCGGTTAGCACTGAATTGTTCTCCGGCAGCCCGTTTGAAATTTATTTTATATTTATGTTTGGGTTTATATCCCACCCTACCCCGAAGGCTCAGGGCGGCTTACAGGGGCACTCTGTGCCAAGATTATAACAGTAAAACCTATAATATAAAACAATAAATTACAGTAAAATGCAGTAACAAGTTTACAATATAAGTTTACAAGTTTAACCAAGATGGGTAGCTCTTAACCTCCATGGTAGCTTCTTGAAATCTTGTCATCCAAATCATGCCCGGACGCCTCGTCCCTCCAGTGGGATCCAGACAATCATGATGGTAATACAATAGTGCATAGGGGCAGTGGTGGAATAGTGGCGGCGGAGGCTCCTACTCAAAGGCCTGGCGGAAGAGCTCCGTCTTGCAGGCCCTGCGGAACTGAGAAAGGTCCCGCAGGGCCCGGATCTCCTCCGGGAGCTCCTTCCACCAGGTAGGAGCCACCACCGAAAACACCCTGGTCCTGGTCAAATGTAGAACTCCACGAGACCCAGTTTGGTGCTGTGGTTAGGAGCGCAGACTCTAATCTGGGAGAACCGGGTTTGATTCCCCCACTCCTCCACATGCGGCTGCTGGTGTGACCTTGGGTCAATCGCAAGTTCTCTCAGAGCTGTTCCCTCAGGGGCAGTCCTCAAGAGCTCTCTCAGCCCCACCTGCCTCACAGGCAGTGTTCCCTCTAAGCTGAGTTAGTGTGAGCTAGCTCACAGTTTTTTAGCCTCTGGCTCACACACTTCTGTCTTAGCTCAGGAAGGAGGGCTCCAGAGCACTGTTCCCTCTAAGCTGAGTTGGTGTGAGCTAGCTCACAGTTTTTTAGCCTCTGGCTCACACATTTTTGTCTTAGCTCAGGAAGGAGGGCTCCAGAGCAAACTGATTTATGCAGTAGCCAAATTGCTCGCTCACAACTTTAATGCAAGTAGCTCACAAAGCAGAATTTTTGCTCACAAGACTCCACATCTTAGAGGGAACATTGCTCCAGAGCAAACTAATTTATGCAGTAGCCAAAATGCTTGCTCACAACTTTAGTGCCAGTAGCTCACAATGTAGAATTCTTGCTCACAAGACTCCACAGCTTAGAGGGAGCCTTGCTCACAGGGTGTCTGTTGTGGGGAGGGGAAGGGAAAGGAGTTTGTAAGCTGCTCTGAGACTCCGAGTGAAGGGCGGGATATACATCCAATCTCTTTTCTTCACGAGTAGAGGGAGCTCAACTCCCTTATTTTGTCCAAGGAAAGATGCCATGGAGGGTGGGTGGGTTTCCGAGCATATTCAAGAGGGAATTAGATAAGCATATGGAGCAGAGGTCCATCAGTGGCTCTTAGCCACAAGATATAGATAGGAGCTCTCGGTCTGGGGCAAGGGATGCTCTGTATTCTTGGTGCTTGGGGGGGGGTCAACAGTGTGAGGGCTTCTAGTGTGCTGGACCTCCTGAGGGCTCCTGGTATTTTTGGCCACTGTGTGACAGAGTGTTGGACTAGATGGGCCTTTGGCCTGATCCAACATTGGCCTCTCTTATGTTCTTATAAGAGGGAATTAGATAAGCATGTAGAGCAGAGGTCCATCAGTGGCTAGTAGCCATGAGGTATAGATAGGAACTCACAGGCTGGGGTAGGTGATGCACTGTATACTTGGTGCTGGGGGGGGGGCAACAGTGGGAGGGCTCCTAGTGTCCTGGCCCCACTGCTGGACCTCCTGATGGCACCTGGTATTTCTGGCCACTGTGTGATACAGAGTGTTGGACTGGATGGACCACTGGCCTGATCCAACATGGGCTTCTCTGATGTTCTTATAGGAACTCTTGGTCTGGGGCAAGGGATGCTCTGTCTTCTTGGTGCTTGGGGGGGTCAACAGTGGGAGGGCTTCTAATGTCCTGGCCCCACTGCTGGACCTCCTGATGGCACCTGGTATTTCTGGCCACTGTGTGACACAGAGTGTTTGATTGGATGTGCCCATTGGCCTGACCCAACATCGGCTTCTCTTACGTTCTTATGTAGTAAATTGTCTGTTGGCAATTGCGAACGTGGCTCTGAAGGAGCTGTGGAGTCAATACCGCTGCTTTAGACCTCTTGTGTTATTTTCCCCTTCTAGATCAAATGAAAAAGTCTGTACCGCAGAAGAAGGGAGTTTTCACGGTATGGGAAAGCACGGGCGATGGCAGCATAGATGGCATCCTTTGAAACGGGAGCCCCTTCCCCTTCAGCGGATGACGCCCACCCTCCTTCTCTGAACTTGGAACACTGCGGAGACGGACCCCTCTCAGCATTCACGGCCTCGGCTCTGACTGTAGTGACCCCAAGAGACGACAGAGGACTGTCAAGTGTAGTGTTGCTAAATCGGCCTAATTAGTGGCTTTTAAGGGGAGGAGCTCCTTGTGGATGAATAACGGACAGATCATTTTTCTGGGTTTCGCTGCGCCTGTTAAGCTGCTCGAGATGTACAGTCCTCTGGAAGCCTTGCTAGGATAGCTTTTGCTTTTTAAAAAAATGTTTTGCTTCCTGGGCGGTTTTATGCAGACAGGGGAGTGTCCCGCGTGCCTTGTTCACAAGGTGTGATTTTAGTTTTTGGTAACTGTATACAGGATTTATATGCATTAGGCCTGGATATGAATGTTAGTTTTGAAAGAGCGGCTCCCCTGCGGCAGAGGGGGGCAGGTTGGGTAACCGCTTAGGACCGCGGTAGAGAGACGTGTTCTCCAATCGGAACGTTTGTGCCACGAAGAAGGTTACTTTCAGCAAGCAGGCTGGAGATCTTTTCTGAAGCAGCTGTTTCTTTAACCACCTTTTGGGGGGGGGGAATTTGTGTGTTTTTTTAAGTCTGTGTTTTGGGGCTCTGTATTTCTTTTCTAACCCTTTATGAACCAGGGGCTACTGAAGCGGCCGGTACTCGGCAGCGGCCGTTCCATCCTGCCCGGCTCATCCTTCCCGTGTTCGCTGCTCGACATACATTTTGGTTCTGGTGTCTTATGCAACACAATAAAGACGACTCTTCTATGTAATAATTGACAGAGGTTATGTCCTTGTAGCAAAACGTTTGGTGAGGCGTGGGTTCCGTCGGTGCCCCTTAGCCTTTAGTGGCCCTACAGCTGACTTTACAGAAGGTGCGGCAGGGGCGTTGCCTAGAGTTTTATAGACACGTTTCGCGACATTGTTGGAGCTTCTGTTTCGACGGGACCGGATTTGCATGCCACGCTACCGTGTCCTCTGGCTTTATCCATACTGCAGTAGGCAGAAGCAGAACTCAGTGCTGCTACATGCTGGTAGTTTTAAACACACGCCATGGACAAACGCCTGTTTCAGTGGTCCTCCTTTCAGGATGCAAAAGGAAAGGAGTGCTTGCTGCAGGGCCCCCCCGGTTGCTACGAGTCCCTCAAGGCAGCTGGGTCAGAGAGAGGACCCCCCCCCCCTTCTGCCAGTTCAAATATCAATGGACAGGCCAAGTTTTGGAAGCTGCTTGTATATACATTGTAGTGGCTCAAGTGGTTAAGATGCTGAACTGCAGGCTGTGGAAGGTTGGTCGTTCAGCAGTTCGAGACCCTGGTTGCCGCATGACGGAGTGAGCTCCCGTATCTAGTTCCAGCTCCTGCCAACCCAGCAGTTCGAAAGCAAGAAATTGCAAGTAGATAAATAGGTACCACTTCAGTGGGAAGGTAACAGCGTTCCGTGCGCCTCGGTGTTTAGTCATGCCGGCCACATGACCACGGAAACGTCTTCGGACAGCGCTGGCTCTTCGGCTTTGAAACGGAGATGAGCACCACAACCCTAGAGTCGGGCTCGACTGGCTTTCGAGCAAGGGAACCTTTACCTTCCTACATTAAAACCTGAGGGGAGGGTGACTTTAAATGTTGGAGATGCCATGATAAAAGAATATATTGTTGCTTTGCAGTCCTGTTTGTCTTCCCTTCACCAGTTTGCCACTGTCCAGTAGTCTTTGCCGCTTGACGCTCTAGTCTATTTTCCAGCCCAGTGATTGGGTCTATGTGAAGGAGGAGGAAGAGGTAACAGCGTTCCGTGCACCTTGGTGTTTAGTCATGCCGGCCACATGACCATGGAAATGTCTTCGGACAGCGCTGGCTCTCCGGCTTTGAAACGAAGATGAGCACTGCAACCCTAGAGTCGGACTCGACTGGCTTTCGAGCAAGGGAAACCCTTTACCTTAAAAAAAAGACATTTAAATGATGGGAAATAAGATCTGAGAAAAATCAAGAAACTAAATCCATTAGCTAATTACCACGCAAACAACGGCTGTGCTATGCACAAAAGATGTATTGCCTCTGGTGTGCGTGTGCGTCTGTCCTTGCTGGACAACATAAACTCACGCGCCCCTTTCCCCTGAGACGGCTTCAACCCCCATCTACGTTTCAGACCAATGCCTCCAACTGCTAGATGAGAGAACCCCACAGACAAAAAAGGCCAACCAGAGTTTGAATCAACCACTTTATTGAACCAGAAAGGGAAGCGAGGTGTTGCGGTTTGGCTTTGCAGACCGATGGGGCATTCGACAGCTGACACGGAGAGGCCGCGGGAGGAGCGGCGATCATTAAAAAAAAGGAGGGAATTCAGTTAGATCTGCCATGTTTCTCTCTCTAAAAAAACCGCACATGTTGCACGATCACAGTGGCCTGGCAGCAGCGCCCCCCCCCCCCCAAAAAAAAGGTCCGCTGCAGAAGCCTTGCTGAGTATTTTTGTGGCTTGAGGGACTGAGAGGTGGGAGGCAATGGCGCTTTGGCATATGTCAGTGGGGAGCCACCCGATTCACTGTGGAAATACCGTGACCACGTCATATCCCTCGGGCGGCGTGACCCGTTCCCGGGCGTGCTTCTCACAGTAGATGCGGTCCTCCACGAAGAAGTGCCCTTTTTGCTTGAGGTTGGCTCCACAGTCGCTGCATACGTAGCATTCGGGGTGGCGGGCTTTGTCCCGGAGCTTTACGAACGCACCTCTGGGAAGCAAATGGGACCAGCGTCAACGGTGAGGAGTGAGGAATTCTGAATCTCAGAGAAAAGGGCTGTGTACAAATTGGTTCTGTTGTCCCTTATTGCCACAAAGTCACAGCTGACTAATGGTGAGTGGTGACCCCCCCATACGGTTTTCAAGGCGAGAGACATTCAGAGGTGGCTTGCCATCACCTGCCCCTGCGTCACAACCCTGGTATTCCTTGGAAGTCTCCCACCCAAATACCAGCTCAGGGCTCTTTGTTTATTGGTTAAAGCTAAAAGATGAAACCTGGAGGGTTTTTGCCTTATTCTGGGCATGGAGCAGGGGTCACTGGGGTTGTGGGGCGGGGAGGTATTTGAGAATTTCCTGCATTGTGCAGGGGGTTGGACTAGATGACCCCTGGAAGTCCCTTCCAACTCTGTGATTCTATGAGTTTGCTCTTGCCTAGCCCCTGTCTGGAAAACGTGTTCCAGCTCATTCTGAAGTTCTACAGCCAGTGTGTGTGTGTGGGTAAAGTGGTACTACAGTTTGATGTAGTGGTTAAATGCGCAGACTCTAATCTGGGAGAACCGGGTTTGATTCCCCACACCTCCACTTGCACCTGGCTGGATGACCTTGGGCAAGCCACAGTTCTCATAAGAGCTGTTCTTGGAAAAGAGCCGTTTCTGTCAGAGCTCTCTCGGCCCCACCGACCTCACAGGGTGTCTGCTGTGGGGAGGGGAAGGAGTTTGTCAGCCGCTCTGAGACACATTCAGGTAGTGAAGGGCCATGGGGTATAAATCCAATCTCCTCCTCTTCTACATATATGGGTCTCTCCCTTCCTTCAGCTTGTCCATGCAAAAACCCTGTAATAAGGTCAAGGTAATCCGGCCTGGCTGCGGAGGTCCTAGAATGACCACGGCCTCACAGCATCCCTCTTGTTTTATTACTGCACGACCAGACGAAGCTCTTTAGAGGAGACATTCAACAAGTCCATTGTGCCTAACCCAAAGGTGTCTCAGACACCCTGTGAGGTAGGTGGGGCCGAGAGAGCTCTGACAGAATCAAACCCGGCTCTCCCAGATTAGAGTCTGTGCACTTAACCACGGCACCAAGCCTCAGCCCCTTGGCTGAAGGGTGAGAGAAATGTCCAAGGAACAGACATTCCTGTACCTTACTTCCAGATCTGGATACCTCAAGATGGTTGGAATAAACCTCCCTTCCCAGCCCCAGGCAGTTCTAAAACGGCCAAAGAATCAGTTTTTTCTGGAAACTGTCTCAGCCTTGTACTCCAAAACACAAAACCACAAACACCCGCTGGGCCTAGTTCATAACAGGTGACTTTGCAGGGGGTCCGTCGCCTGGTTTGCTGGCCTCCAGTGCATCTGCTAACAAGAAGAGGAGGCCTTTTCTGGCGAGTTAGAGCTACCGGTGTTGACTCCATACAGACCCGCGTTTCCCAAAGCACGGAGTGAGATCACTTACTGCTTCGGCCAGGGCTCGTTTTGTAGAAAAGGCCCAGCAGGAACTCATTAGCATAATAGGCCACACCCAACAGCAGGAACTCATTAGCCTATTGGGCCACACCCCTGACAGCACAGCTCATTAGCACATTAGGATGCACCCCCATGTTACCAGAAGTGTGGTCATCCAGCCACACCCACCTTTTGCTTCTTATTCTGTTTACCTTGTTTGTGGTCAAAACCCAGGGCCTTTTTTTATAGCAGGAACTCCTAATGAGTTTCTGCTGTTGGGTGTGGCCTATTATGCTAATGAGTTCCTGCTGGGCGTGGCCAACTTGGGAGCCAGCCGGAACGCCGTTCCTGTGCGTTCCTGCCCCAAAAATAGCCCTGCTGCTTCCTTACAAAACTTGAAACTTATCCCGTGATCCTACTTGAAAGGGATTACTGAACTACAGGGCGTTTGCACAATCAGCAGGCATGCTGGGGAACTTTACAGATTGTTCGTCTGCCAAATACTCGGGGTGGGGGGGACGGGACTGTCTCTTTGGAATAAGGTGCCCGTTAATGCATTCGGGAACATTTCTGATCTGTGGATGGACATGTAAGTCCCCACTTTCTAGGCCACTGGGTAGGGGTCAGAATATCCGACTGGGATTCGGGAGACCCAGGTTCGAATCCCCATTATGCCGTGGATGCTTGCTGGGTGCCCTTGGAGCAGTCACTCACTCTCAGCCTAACCCTGCCTCACCTGGTTGTTGAGGAGAGGAGAATGATGCCAGGTTTTTTTTTTGGGGGGGGGGAGATGGGGCACAAGTGAAATACACAAGAGGTCCCTTAACCCAGACCATCTTCTGTACTCCTCCGCTTGGTCGGTGTGCGCCAATACTCACACAATGCCGGAGCCGCACTTATCACAAACGGGCAGCTTCTGGGCATTTCCAATGGATGCTGCTACTTTGGTGGTTGGGGCTTTGACGCTTCTAAATCCAGAAGGCTTGTCAGGATCTGTGAATGAACAGACGGCACATGCTACGGATTAGAAGAGGAAGCCACAGTCCGCCAGCAGGAAGACTTCTTTGCCGCAGGATAACGAGTGCAATTGTGCCGGAGGACAGAAATACTTCACTAGGGCTGATAACTGTCATGCCCAGATCCAAAGGCCAAGCTTTTGGCACCAGTTTCTGCCGGTGACCAATTTGGAGTATTTTAAAAGGAGACACACAATAATTTCGCTATGCCTACATCAATGCTCCCTCTAAGCTGTGGAGTGAGCAAAATTCTACTTTGTGAGCTACTGCAATTAAAGTTGTGAGCAGTTTGGCTACGGTATAAATTAGTTTGCTCCGGAGCCATCCTTCCTGTGCTAAGACAAAAATGTGTGAGCCAGAGGCTAAAAAACTGAGAGGTAGCTCATACTAACTCAGCTTAGAGGGAACACTGGCCTACATACCTCTTTCAATTTGACAAAAGGCTGGTGTGTTTTGTAATGGGGGTTGCCGAATTAAATTTCCCATTCTATTATGCAGCAGCAGGTAATTAAAAAAGAAAGAACTGCATAAATAACACAAACCACAATTGCTCAAAAGTCATGCAAAAACAGAGGATCACATAGATCAGTAAAATAAATTTACATCATACAATGTAAATTTACAACATACAGGACGTCCTGTCTATGTACCATTTATGGACCTGCACTACTCATGGACCTGTACATTGTATGATGTAAATTTATTTTACTGATCTATGTGATCCTCTGTTTTTGCATGACTTTTGAGCAATTGTGGTCTGCGTTATTTATACAGTGCTTGCTTTCTTTCTGTGAAATTGTATACTGTGATATCGCATCAATTTAAAAAACACACCATCAAAAATCCCAGCACAAGCTTCGATGGAGTCCTGCCCACTCCTCTGGTTTCTGCTGGGGGAGGGTTCCCTTAGCCTCCACAGGGCCACAGACTCTTGGTTATCGTCCCTTTGGATGTGGTCCCAGCCAAGGGCTTATTCCTCACTGGCTTCATTTCCTGTGCAAGGTGTGCAACACCCCCCCCCCAAAAAAAAAAGTTTACCTTTTTCTCCAGTTTCTAAAATTTCTTGTAAAACCAGGAACGAGGTGGATTGGCGGGGCGGCTCGTTGGACTCTTGATTCTCCTGCAGCATCTTGTAAACCTCGGAGTCCTTGTCGATTACTAAGTTATTAGGAGGCTGCTGAAGTTGGTCCAAACTAAAAAAAAAAGCAAAGCGAACGCTGTTAACGTTTATGACTGCACTACAAAAAGAAACATTCGTGTCAGAAAGCGCACACAGACGCAGCCCAGATAATCTAGAGATGCGACGACTGTGTTCACCGGAACAAGCTGCAGTGAGATATCAAACTATGGCCGAGCACAGCAAAAATCAGCCATTGATTCCTGGGCTTTTTTGTTTCGAATGATGCCTAAGCTCCAATTGCAGCTGAAAGCATTAATTAATTCACCGGACCTTCCTGAATGAAGCCCAATCAGACACCCGGGAGGAATGAAGCCGGGTGCAGCACGAAACGGCGTTTTAGGTGGCGCGGCCTGTCCGGAGCTGTGCTCACGTGGTCTGCGTGGTAAAAGCCGTCTGAAGTACACAATATGGAATGCTACCGTAGAGCCCAGTCTTATCAGATGTTGGAAGCTCAGCAGGGCCAGTATTTGCTGGGGCTTAGAATCATAGGATGTTAGAGTTGAAAGGGACTTTGGAGGTCATCTAGTCCAACCCCCTGCACAGGACCATAAGTTGGTCGTGTCTTGACAGCCCCTAAGTACACGTAGCCTGAAGTACAATATGCTCAGAAGTATATTAAAATTCTGTCTTCTGGGAACAAATCTAAAGGGAAAGGATGAGCGAGTGGTTTCAGCTTTCTCTTGTTTGGGGAAGGACGGACGGTCACATGGCATCTTCTAGAACATGGTCGCTGCTCCAGACAGGAGTGAATTAGGTATCTTTATCCACTTGTGGGTGTTCACAAATTCCCCCCTCCACACACACACACAATTGGATCTGAATACACTGTGGCTGAAATCTGAGGGAAGGAACTGAATAGTGGGAAACATTTAGAAGGCGCTCCCGTTACCCCCTTGGAGTCATCCTCGCACGCCCCCTGAAGGAGTTACACCCTTGTGAGCAAGCCATGGGGCTCATGTGGGCCCCTCCGTGACCCATGAAAGGAATGTGGAAAGGCATTCACAAAGCTTAGATGGATTCCCCAGTTTTGACTGCAAACCTTGATGTTTATTCACCCCAAGAGGCAACTGAGCGATAGGAACCTTGAAGGCTGATTAATGCGCATCATTTGATAATTCCAAGATGAATGTGCCAGAATGCTGTGGGGAAAAGCATTTGTGCTGGAGCTAACATGCATGTTCTACATGTGGTGCCTGTTCTGAGAGCCCATTCACATGCACTGGTCAGCCCTTGACAAACGTGACCTGAATTACGTACTCACTCCCTTATGCACAAAGCAAAAGAATTAGGACTACCCCCGCGGGCACGCTTGGCATCCGTATCTCGAACAGCCAGCCACGCCATCCTTATCCTTCAAAACTGACTGTATGAGGATCGGTCTTTTTGTGGTGGTCCGAGTATTCAACCAGGACTGGGGGAAACCCAGCTTCAAATTCCCGCTTCCCATCACCGCTTTAGATCTGCCGTTCTCTCTCAGCCTAACCTACCTCACAAGGTTGTCATGAGGATAAAATGGAGGAGGGAAGAGCTATGTATGTATGTATGCCAGCCTCAGCATCTTGGAATAAGAGCTGCGGTGGCTCGAGTGGTTAAGACGCTGAACTGCAGGCTGTGGAAGGTCCGGTCGTTCAGCAGTTCGAGACCCGACTGTGCCCCATGACAAAGTGGACACTCCCGCCTACTTCAGGGCCTCCCCGTATGCCACGTGGGGGGAAACCCCGATGGCGATGCGGCCCCAGAGAGACGAGCGATTCAGCTCCCCTACCCCAGAGAAGGTCGGTAGTTCAGCAGTTCGAGACCCAAGTGTGCCGCATGATGGAGTGAGCTCCCGTCTCTAGTTCCAGCTCCTGCCAACCTAGCAGTTCGAAAGCAAGAAATTGCAAGTAGATAAATAGGGACCACTTTGGTGGGAAGAAGGTAACAGCGTTCCGTGCGCCTTGGTGTTTAGTCATGCCGGCCACATGACCACGGAAACGTCTTCGGACAGCGCTGGCTCTTCGGCTTTGAAACGGAGATGAGCACCGCAACCCTAGAGTCGGATTCGGCTGGCTTCCGAGCAAGGGAACCTTTACCTTTACTTTAAGAATGCATTAAAGAAAGAACAAAGACACGTTTTGTCTTCTGGACAAAAGCGATGTTGCAATGCTTCACATATGGGGCTGCCTTTATTGGGGAAATCCAGTTGTTCCAAAAAAAAATAAGCTCTTCTCTGGCCTCCAGGGGCCAGGACATCTTTCAAAGACACCTAATTGGGGGTTTTAAGTCCATACGGGCAACAAAGCCCGCGTACAGGAAGACCCTGTCTCTTCCATAAGCTGCTAGCATCACTACTGGTTCAAATTTAAAACAAAGAAACAAGGGGAAGGGAAGGGGGGTGAACCCCACACATCACATCAACTCAGATAAATCAAATTTGGATAAAAATGATGATCCAAAAAAAAATCTAACAAAGTGATCCCATAAACTATAAAAACCATCTTTTTAAAGGCAGTGCCTTAATTGCATAAACATGAATTAATTTAGCTAAACGTTATCTTATTTTTGAGCCATTCCATTCTGGATTCTCATTCAGATGCTACTAATATCAGGCTGCCAATAACGTATTGCCTATTAATCATATCTACACCATGTTCTTGCATTTCCTAAAGATTTCAGGTTCACATCTAGCAATGTCTCTTATGTAGCCAACTGTACTTATTAAGTCCCCTTCCACTTGTCGATAATCCCAGCCGTGCATATTCTAATGGCCGCCTTGTCTATTCCACGTAGCCTTCATCTTCGCCTACTAACTTCCTGCTTTATTGTGTTCTGTTACAGAGACAGTATGAGTGTCAAACTTGAGAGTGTCAAACCAATACTGGGAGGAATCAGGTTCAAATTCTGCCATTATGTTCACTGAGTAACTTTGGTCCTCTCGTTCTCTCAACCCAAACTGCCCTCGCAGGATTGTTGTGAGGATAAAATGGAGAACCTGAGAATGACGGATGCCGCCGGGAACGTCTCAAGGGAAGAGTGGCATAAAAACATAAGAGATGAAGCAGTTTCAGAGGGCAACCGTTGTTGGTCTGCAGTATGACAGTCAGTGTTCCCTCTAAGCTGAGTTAGTGTGAGCTAGCTCACAGTTCTTTAGCCTCCGGCTCACAGGTTTTTGCCTTAGCTCGGGAAGGAGGGCTCCAGAGCAAGCTAGTTGATGCAGTCACCAAACTGCTCGCTCACAACTTTAATGCCAGGAGCTCACAAAGTGGAATTTTTGCTCACAAGGTTCCGCAGCTTAGAGGGAACATTGATGACAGTTAGATCGGAGCCCACGGGTGCCTTCGGACCAGTAAGAGCTTCAGGGTATCACCTTTTGAGAGCCAAAGTTCCCTTCCTATCTGACAAAGGGGAGCTGTGAGACTCTTGAGAGCTTTTACCTTGACACTCTTGTTGGTTCTAAGGTGCGACTGGACTCTTACTGTTTTAATTAGTTTGTACGAAATGGAAATGCCGAGGCTGAGGTGAATACAAACTTCCTTTGCTCAGCTGTCAACCATTTTCATTCTGGACAGAAGTGATTTTCCCCACAATTACTCATGTCCTGGTAACTTCCGAGCTTGGCTACTGTAACACGTCATTTGTGGGTTTGCCTTTGAAGACTGTCTGAGAACTCCAAGTGGTTCAGAAAATGGAGGAGGAGAAGGGGGATGGATTTATACCTTGCCCTTCACTACCCAAAGGAGTCTCAGAGCATTAGTTGCTGTAGATTTTTTGGGCTGTCTGGTCGTGGTTTTGGCATTGTAGAACCTGATGTTTCGCCAGTAGCTGGGACTGGCATCCTCAGAGGTATAACACAGAAAGATGGAGTACTCTCTGTGTCAAGGTGAGAAGAAAAATGGTAGGCAGGTAATTTTTCTTCTCACCTTGACACAGAGAGACCATTTTTCTTCTCACCTCGACACAGAGAGTACTCCATCTTTTTGCGTTATACCTCTGAGGATGCCGTTCACAGCTACTGGCGAAATGTCAGGTTCTACAATGCCAAGACCACGGCCACACAGCCCAAAAAATCTACAGCAACTAATGCTCCAAAAAATCTACAGTGAATAATGAACTCTGGCCGTGAAAGCCTCCGACAACATAGTCTCAGAGCGGCTCACCATCTCCTTTCCCCTCCCCACAACAGACACCCTGTGAGGTAGGTGGGGCTGAGAGAGCTCTTTCGAGAACTGCCCTGAAAGAACTTGTGATTGACCCAAGGTCACACCAGCAGGTGCATGTGGAGGAGTGGGGAATCAAACCCGGTTCTCCCGGATTAGAGTCCATGCTCTTAACCACGGCACCAAACTGGCTCTCTGACGAAAACTCACCAAGTATTCCATAATATTTAAAGATATTCCTTGATTTCTAGTTTCTTTCTGGGCGCTGTTCCGTGCTGGTTTTGCTCTGTTAATACTGTTGTACGCACAGTTTATATGTAACACTGTTATGCACTCAGCACTCTGCCTGCCTTAATAGACTAACCTTAAGTGGATTCAGTTGGCACTTATGACATACACAGACATACAGATATGTTAAGTGCCTTTGATGAGTCTAATCACAGTAACTGAAATCAATCGTGGACATATATTCAGATATTCACTTTGGTTCATTGCTTAAATGCACTCTGGGTAAAATCAGAGGTCATTTCGGGGGGGATCGCGGGGGATCGCAGTTCCCCCGGGTGAGGTACGGGGGGCGGGGCACATGACGAAGCCCCG